AGCTTTGGTGGCCTGATGGTTAGACTTACCGCCTCTAGCTCAAGCAGAGGCCGTGGATTCGAATCCGGGCTAGGTCGGGGTTTAATTCCAAATTTACCATGAGCTTTTCGGTGAAGAAAAACATTGCGATGAAACCTGTACGCCCAAGAAGGTTCACCACTCCCGGAACACGTTTCAAAGTCCCCAACCCGCATTGGGCCAACGTGGCTTACTATGGCCTGAGAGGAGACCCGTGCTCAGCAGTGGAACGTACAATATCAAATAAGATTTCCTTAAAATGCCACTCAACCTTTAAACACAAAATGTCAAGTTTCACAGTCAACTAATTCATCATAAGCTGAATGTATTTGCCTAAAGTTCAAGGAACTAATATGTATATAAAGTACATAATACTCCATCTGAAATCCAGGTACACACTCTAACGCACACACTCTACATAGCCCCGCACTAGGGAAACCCTGTGTCGCGGGTGCCATGGACACACATATAGACAAACACAAATTACACCCAAACTCACGAGAGAAATAATTGTAGGCCATACAAATATTTCTCCCGGCCCGGGAATCGAACCTGGGACCTCTGCGTGGCAGTCCGGCATGGTAACCGTTCGGCCACGGAGGCAGTTATAGGTGTTTTTGTATTGCATTTTGTTCTACATTTTTAAAGTGTAACTTACAAGTTACTGTGGTAGTTGTATTTAGACTAAAGGTTTTGTAATTGCACGGAGTGCGCTTTTGTAAAAAAATATCCCGCAATACCGGGATAGACGAAATGTCGAGTTTAAAATATTATTTGAATTTTTATGTATTAGGATCCGGTTGTCACATTTCTGCTCATCATCAGACCTTTAAGATTTAAAGAGTTTCAACGTCTCAATAAAGCTGAACATTTGAGTTAGTTCATATTCGCCGTTTTGAACTGTTTTAATAACCGAGATCTGGCTACTTCATTATTTCATTTTTATTTTTTTATTATATTGTTTGTTGCACAGGAAAAAGCACAGATTACATTTAATAAAAGGAAAATACAAACAAAAGGTACTGCCTATTTCCATGAGAAATTTCTTCCTGCAGACCTAAATACAGAACAAAATAACTACAATAACGGGCATACGCGCAAAAAAAAACAAAAGTATGTAATACAATATTAATAATAACATTAAACTATTATAACTAGGTAAATACTTAGATAAATTCATATTTCATAATAAAATACCTATAAAATGGATGGAACTCTAGATAAATAATGTTCCTTAACTCTCAATTTAAAAGTAGCTAACGATGTACTTTCGTGAACAGAAATAGGAAGTGCGTTCCAAATTCTGACCGCATCAACAGTGGAGTTAGAATAAAAACCGGAATTAAAGAAAGGAAAAGATAACTGGGACCTAACGAGAGAGCGACAGAGAGCGACAGGGTTTGTCCTGAGACCTGGGAAAGCTGAAACGCTCTTTCAGATATTCGGGAGACGAAGGGTTATGAAGAATATGAATATTCTTATTCCGGGAACAATCATAAATCGATGTAAAAATATGTATTAGAACAATTAGAGATGGAGTTCCACAAACAAACGAGAATTTAGCAAGCAAGTACCTTATGATCCAACAACCAGAGATAATGAAGCAACATCCCAAAAATAACAATGCGCTTGTTATACGCAAATAAAATTAAAAAAAATTTTTCTTACTTTTCTCTTAAAACTATGTAAGGATACCCCAAAAATATGTATATTATATAAATTTTTATTATATGTAGTATTTAAAAGAACGCCTAAAGAAACTATTTTTAGAGTAGTTTGTTCTACAAAATTTACAGAAGGTAGCCTTAGAACGCAAGGAGATGCGATCCGAGAACCTTTAGTAGGTACCTACATTATTCGTGAATAAATCTGAAAGTTGGAAGTCACATCCGGCTTTCTTAGTAGCTCGCTGCACCGGGATTCAGGGTCGTATTCCAGAACTTTACTCAATGCTCAAGTTAGGATTTGAGTATGGTTTAAAGCACTCGAAATCATACTCAAGTCCCTGCCATTAGGGTCGTATTTCCAGTGCTTGTATTTCCATTGCAATCCTAACTTGAGCATTGAGTAGAGTTCTAGAATACGACCCTTCGTCCTTACTATCTTGGTCTTCATCAGATTCTTAACGAGATCTAACTATCTAGGCCAACACACAAACGAAAAAATACCACACTAAAATAGGAATGTCGTGTAACGGGCTACAAAGCTACAGACTCGTTAACACAAACACTCACACCGCACCACGGACACGTTATAAAGAATATACATTATTGGAAGGTGTGCCAAATGGTATCCCGGGATTTAAAAGAAGAAAAAAAAAGACTATAAAATATATTTTAAAAAGTCGCTTCGATAGTTTGAGAACAATACACGGGAAATACTTTAGGTATTAAAACATTCGACCACTAAAAATAATAATGCTTATGCTAAAGCTTATTATTGTTCGCGAAATGTTATTTTGGACCGATTCGAAGAATAAAACAAAAGGGTCATTCAGCTCGGTGAGGCACGTACCGTCCGTGTACTCTACGTGGCTAGTATTGATACTTTAAAGTTTTTTTTTATAATACCAACAACGCACAAGTAGTGCGCATAGTGATAAGCGATACGTTTGTCGTAAAGATTTGAGAGCCACTGCAGTTACGCCCGTCACCTTGAGACATAAATTGCCAAGTTCACAAGTACCTGTAATTTCACCAGCAGTTTGCGGCAGTACTGACCAAACTCTTTGATAAGAAGCTCTACTAAATGTGAAAGATGAGAACTTTGGTTATTTAATAATTTAAAATACCGATATGAATGATATACATATTTATTTACAGAAAGATTAAAACAAAATTACCATTAATACTTTGCAGATTTTATTTTTCTTTTTTTACAGTTCTGCACATATGCAAATTTTTTCAATTGAATATTTTTCCTACAAATTTAACATGGCGACTTTTGATATCGCTGGTCGAAATTCAACATTTGTGCTTGGTCACGATTTAAAAGTTCATAAATCGGTTAAGGAAGGGCTGACTAATTTCATTGAAATTCCTTTGTGCAATTTGCGTGGATGCCATCAATTTTGTTGAAATCCTAGACATATTTACAATATTTTTTAACTTCAATCAAAGTCTAACGTTTGAGGGCTAGCGGCCTTAGTAGTAAATCCAGCCCCGGCAATATTGTCAAAAGATACACAAATTAGTACTAAAAATATAATTATAACGAATGTATCAAGACCGTTTACGTTGTTTGGCAAAACAGGAGCTTTAATTTTTATTATACTGCCTCCGTGGCCGAACGGTTACCATACCGGACTGCCACGCAGAGGTCCCCGGGTTCGATTCCTGGGCCGGGAGAAATATTTGTATGGCCTACATTTATTTCTCTCGTGAGTTTGGGTGTAATTTGTGGTTGTCTATGTGTGTGTCCATGGCACCCGCGACACAGGGTTTCCCTAGTGCGGGGCTATGTTGAGTGTGTGCGTTATTATTATTATTATTATTATTATTATTATTATTACTCTTAATACAATAGATGACTTGTACTTGCTTACTTGCTGATAACATTTATTGGCCCAAATAATATTTCGAGTATTAACGTCGTAATTTTACAGCTTTAAATAAGTACAATGTAAAGGCACTGATTGTTTAATTTTTTTTTATAACATCAAGTGACAGGATGGACGAGTCGTGCGCCTTATGGGAAGCTACACACCTGTCTATAAAAGTTGCATTGCCACTAAGTCTCATGTGTCACTTATCTATAAATAATCAACTAGATTAGATTGTGTAATTTCATTTAAACTTATTTGTTATTCGGCTCTCCTATGTTAAGACCCTATACGCATTCAAAAGCAAAAATTAAGACGCACCTTTCATACAGCTCACATTCACACACTACATGTCCGAATCAGTACCATTCACAACACATTTAACACACACTCTCCACTTTTACATACACACCGCCAACTACACAGCATAGATTAATCTAAAAACTTAATTAACCGCACTCTTTAAATGTTGTTTCTTTGTTAAATTTCATTTTATTTTCTTCTTAGTCCCAAAAGAACAGTCTTATTGTACTGGTTTTGGGACTACAGAGTTTTATTTAGTTTACTTTTAAGCCATTTGTTTGTTACAACTAAGATTGATGCTTTCCTGCCGTGGTGGCAGCAGTACTATCCGCTAACACAGATTGAATCCTTTTGTGGGGTCTGGATGTTGCCTGGCTGGTTAGCAACCAATCAATTACTTAAAACATATTACTGTAATTATTTTTATAGTATTTGTAATGGCTATAAATAAAGTTATTATTATTATTATTTATTATGTCTGTAATTTCACCGGCACCCTTTACACTACAAAACCGGAACGCAATAATGCTCATATTACTGCTTGGCGGCAGAAATAGAAAAGGTGACGGTACTTTCCTGGACGAATTCTTTCACAAGAAGCTCTAGTGCTACTAGTACATTTTGGAGACTTATAATACTTACTTATCCCACCACTGATTTTTACGATTGTTATTTGTATTGTTATTTGATTGTGATTGTAGGATGTTATTTCTGGTAATAGACTTAGGTACTGTAGTCTAGGCTCTACTCTATGAGTAGAAGTACTGGCTGAATGAGTATAGATTTGTATTTAGAATGTATTTAAAAAATAGGATAGAAAAAAAAGAACATCTTGGCAGATCTAGAAGTAGCCTCCATAGGTGAATATGTGAAAAACACAATAAATATCTAGTTCTGAAGATAATCCCAGTTTATATTTATAAATTATCTCTCGCTACGCGACCTGAGCTACGTCCTAGGCTACAGTACATACCTATTATATCCACTTTACGTTACTTCAACCGGGGTTTCACCCGTTTATAAAATTGTCAGATATATAATATTTTATTATAATAAACTATATATGATAAATATTTGGAGATATTTATAGATATAAATAGTGGGCACATTTCCTAATGTCCTTAATCTGAATGTGGCGCCATTCACTGAAGGCCTTTATTTTCACCGTATTATTTCCCGTAGGGAGAACCTTCCAGCTCCACTGGTGCCAGTTTGTCGTAAATTTCAAGTAATATTCAGGACCGGAAGATTCCTGTGAAGCCATCACGCAATCTAGTAGAACTTTGCTATTCATCTGACAGTATAGCCATGGCAAACCGAAGGTAAATAGTTTTTTCTTTTAACATTCTTATTATTTAACCCTTTCAAGGACGGTACTGGAGTTTACCTTTAGGGCGCGTACAGATCTGGCGGATGCGCCACAAATGCGAATGTTTGCGAAAGGCTCGCGAGCTGCAAACGTGCTTTACGTTGTGCGATGTGTTCGCGTGCCGTTCGCTCGCCACATACATATATTAACATGTATTTAACTGCACGTATGCAGCACGCGTTAAGTTATTGGATATCATAAGTAACGTCAGAGAACAAAAAGTAAAGAGAACGGACACTCTCCGCCCCTCCCTAGCTTTAGATACCGCACGACGCCCCGCACATTGCCGGTCACTTTGACTGAACGACAACAAGGCTGCCGGCTAGCCGTTTTCACGCAAATACGGCTTTGATGTTTGAATATAGTTTTCATTTATTCATTACGAAACTTGTACGTTAATATAAAACATTATTTTACCGAGTTCTTAGGTTTTCGCGATTGTTACACATAGGAAATGAAACTATTTTTCCGGATTTAAATCGCGTATATTTGTTTTTTCAAACAAACCGACGTTTCGGGCCCTTTACAGGTCTCATGGTCACGGTTGACTGAGGTGGTATAGTCTTCAACCAGTTATGTCTAATATTGATGCAAACCACTATATTTTTTCACTATAGTTACAATAGTTATTAATTAAATACCATATTTTTAATTTTACAAAGAAAACATCCCAATTTACGCTACATTAATTTTGCAAATTATTTTATTGAATGAATTTTTATTAAGTTAAATTTATTATTAATTAATAATAGAAATTAGAATAAACTGAAACATATTAATTAGTACTGCAGTCTTATGTCTGTTTGGGATTTTTCATTAGAGGAAATACTGGATCCCAAACTGGTGGTACGGAGAAACCATCTTCCCTGTTGAAATTAGGATGTTTTTTAATTTCAATGGCCTCTCGCAGCATCCTGGGTAGATAACGGACTTCTTTTGCAAGGACCTGGGGTTTGTCAAACTTCATTGAATGTGTAGGTTTATCCATGACATGCTCGCAGACTGCAGACTTGTTTACGCGACGGTGTTTGTCATCAGCTATAGGTATGTTCTTTGACGCGGGTACGGATACTTCGCTTTGTTTGTCCAATATAAGAGAGACCGCACTCACAGTCAAGATTGTAAATTCCTGCATCCTGTAAGGGGATGTTACATTTCACGGGTCTAAGGAACTGATAAATCTTCCTCAAGGGCTTGAAATATAATATAATAATAGGTCTTGATAGGTGCACGCCTGAGGACTCTTCCGATTTTGTCTGTAACACCTCTCACGTAAGGTAAGATGGCAGGTCTTCGCTCGACTGTTGGTGGTTTCACAAGGGCGGCATTGGCGTGGAATCTTCAACTTATTCGCATGTAGGACTTGCTTCATATGCTGAAGTTCCCCTGCCAGATGATTACTGTCGCAGACACCATGTGCTTTCAGAAACAAAGATTTGCCCATGGTAGCTAACTGGCTAGGATGGTGATGGGAATTACCATTGAGATCATTGACTTACAAATAAATGGACGACGGGTCTAATACAAAAACCACGAAAAAAATGTCCCAAGTTAACCTATTTAAACGTAGTGACATGTAAAAGAATATGAAACAGCTAAAACGTTGAATTTAAATTGTAATGTCATCGCAGTACTGTCTAATTTTGCTTGCTTCGCTGTCAGTCGAACAAACGAAGACTAAAGTGTGATTGACGCTCTGTATACGATTTTAACGCCCTATAAGTTCGGACACTTTTTAGCGCGGACCCGACGTCCATATAATTGTAAGTCAATGATTGAGATACCTATCTGTATGGGTTTTCTTTCGAAATATCTGTACAGTATGGCCTAAGGAGTTATTAGGATTTCTTTTAATTAAAACATCTAAGAAAGCTAAAGTACCACAATTCTCTTGTTCCATAGTAAATTGGATCTTAGTACTAAAATCATTAAGATGGTCCAAGAAAGAAGGTGCATACCTTCTTTCTTGGACCTCTTCTTTAGGTAATATTGTGAAAGTATCATCAACGAACCAACTGCTTGTTTAGCAATAAGTCTATCCGGGAGGAAGGGTCGCGCACTAAGTCGTAGTGAATGTGTACCGACCCCACGGCGCCGACTCAACCGGCAGGAGGTAAACCCGGGGGGGTTTTAGTGGGGTAGGCCCTCCAGCCTGGAGGGAAAGTCCCCACATAAAGATTTCCCCCCGCAGAAAAAAAAGGGTCGCGCACTAACATGCACTGATTGGTAATTTTACAAATTGAGGAGCGTCGGAACTAAAACCGCCAATTTACATTATTACTTTTTCTTTCTAATTGCCAAACGGTAGTTTATGTTCGTTTCTACTGGTTTCTACAAACGAATAATTTATCTAAGCCGAGCATAAACCACTAAAATTGCTTGAAAAATCCGTTTCAAATGCACGGATCTGAATTCAATGTGACAAAAAAAAAAGAAAATCCAAAAATGAGGCTAGACGAAATTGGAATAAAAATTTTTCGGTTTCTGTTCTGAAGCTGCATAATTCAGAATCCAGTGCACTGATCCTACCGAATAATTTTATATCAACGGCTTGCTTGTAATTACATCATAATAACAATATAATAGCGTATCCGATCAAACTGAAAATTAAAAACAATGCATAATTTCTACTTAAAAAAACATTAGGTTCTCTTTTCGACTGTATTTTTTTGTGTGTATGTTACGCGATAAAAAAAAGCTGTGGTAGCCTAATGGTTTGACCTACTGCCTCTCAAGCAGAGGGTCGTGGGTTCGAATCCGGGCTCGCACCTCTGAGTTTCACGGAATTTATTTGCGAAATTTAATTTGAAATTTATCTAACCGATTTTAGTGAAAATTTGCAAATAGATGTAACTCAAGTTTTGAGGTCGGTTTTGTTCAATAAAAATTTGATTATAACTTTTATTTTTATTCTATTCTAAGTTCGCTTGAAGAGAATAGCAATTTCTTCTTGCCTGTTGCACATTAGCTTTTTTATATAAAATATTCAGTTGCGTATTTAGTTTGAATTTTTCATTGTTCATAATTACTTCTTGATAGTATCCTCTTACACCCTTCATTATAATATAAGACCCTATAATCTATATCTACTTAACAGAGGCGTATCCAGTGACAATATACCTAATAATCCAGTAATAAACAATCTGAACTCGCTGCTGCAAGACATCTACGTGCGTTATGTCGCCCTGAATGATGATGAATTCGAAACGTATTATGGAGTCTTCACCGATGTCTTTAGGCAAATTCATACGAAGATGAAGCAGGTGGACCCTTACTTTGAGAGATATTCAAGCAATGTAAGTACCTTCTCATACTCAAATGTATATTTATTTTATAGGTATGCAAATTACACTTGAATTCGTCACATTGACTCATTCGTAAGGCAGATTTCTGTGAGAGAAAGAGTACTTTGTAAATTACAAAATAAAAAACAATGTTCATTAATCGTTTCCAACATTGAAATAGATCTAGAAGAGATATTAACTAAACTGACAGATAACTTGCATATTAAGTTCAGACACAACGAAGTCGAGTCGCCGCCACCAAGGAAAGGAAGCTCCAATAAATACAATAGAAGTGCTTAGTTTGCGTTGCACGTGTGCCAACAATACGCAAAGTTCCACATGCTTAAGCTTATAGTCCATTTGTTTAGGGACTTAATTAAATGTAAACATTGTTGAGATGTCTATTTAATGAAATATACATTTATAAAATAATTTTTTCTTACATTCAAATACAAAATACAAATACTTAGCTTCGTATGAAATTGCATGTCTATTTTTATATCTATTGATTTGTAATGAATATGTTTCAATAAAAAGATATATCAAGATTGTTTACATTTAGTTAAGTACCTAAACAAATGAACTATAGATCAATTCCCTTTGTACTTTATGGTCGAGTCAATTACCTCGAGACAATTAACCTCGAAAGTTGCAGAAAAATGCCTTACTTTGTTACTTTGAAGTGCAAAAATGATATTAGTTGCACTTGTAATATTATCTACGGTGATGTGTGACATCATCGTTAAGTCTTATTTAATTTTAATAAATTTTTAATTTTCTGTTTATCGTAATAGTTTTTTGCTACAAGAAACGAATGTAAACTTAAACCGCTGCAATATGGTCACTTCTTTTTTTTGGAGAACTAAGTGAACATCTCAAATTCGTCGCCGTTGAGCTATTGACGGCAGCACATTGAAATGAAACGAATTGAAATTTCAATATACTACAGATAAAACGTCGTAGCTTGCAATAACAGGTATTGAACTTTGAACGACATGGCAACAGGGGAGAGTTTAAATTATATTAACAGTCAGTATTATTTCTTTTAAATTGTAAACTACGACCAATCATGATTAAGATATCATAGTGTTTCAAATTATGGACGTGTGAGTTTTGGCGACCATAGACCACATAAATACTAGTTGGCGACGGTAATTGACTGATGTAATCGAAGTTTAAAGCACTTCTATTGTTTTTTAAGCGACTTTAAAAAAGGAGGAGGTTCTCAATTCGAATGTTTTTTATGTATGTATATGTTACACGAGAACTCCCAAAAGTGGTCCCATTTAAATTTGAAGAAAATATTCGACCTCTAAGGGTGGTAAACTAGGAGATTAATGACTTTTGAGGTCGGTTTTTTTAGTACTCTGTACTGAGGTTACGTTATTCAGGGACACTGACAAACATGTTTTCTATTCAACTGATATATAAAAAGTTTAGATTTTTTATTTATATTACATTTCTGTGTGGTAATTTCAGATCAAAGCTAAGACTTTCAAATTGCTTTCTAGGTACTATTGGCCGGAAGTCACTATGATCGAACTCGCGTTACAAAACCGGATGAATTTGATGTGGCTATTGTCATTGGACTTCCTTTGAACGAGAGGGCGCATCCTGAAGATGTTGCCCTGGTGCCAAAGGAGGCAGGGTATGTGCACCTTAGGATGGGAACCCAATACAAGCAACTCATGATGCGCGATAGCTGCAACTGGGAAATTAACAATGCAGCCTATAAGTGGAGCGATGGACAGGACTTTTTGCTCCGCTCATACTTTATGGATTGGTTCAAGGGAGTTGTGGACATCGCTTTGAATTTATTTAAGCGTGGTTCCACACCGATTATTTATTCTGGCGACGTGCCGTACACTATACGGCAGTCCGAAAGTGGTCCAGCGAAGACTTTGATTATTGAAAATATATCCAAGGGGTTTAAATTGGATGTGGATTTGGTGCCGGCACTGAAATTCCCGGAGGAGCGTTGGCCTATTACCAATTCGTACAGACTAATACGTGCTAACTGGAGCAATGCAGAGAAATTCTGGCTAGTGGTGCCGAAGCAAAATAAAAACGCCGGTAATGACACCTCCAGGTATTGGCGTTTGGGTCTGGTGTTTAAAATAAATATACACTTACTAGTAATTGAGTTACAATAAAAATACAAAATTTTGAGAATATGAAACAAAAAATATCAGATAATAACTCGCAAAGTTGGTCATAAATCAAAGAGTACAATGTACAATTAATAAAGTACTTATCTTATTTTATAATTACTATAATAAATTGTATTTTTGTAGCTAAAAAAACTTCGCGACGCACAAGATATGGACAAAATTGCAAGTTATTTCTTGAAGAATTTAGTGTTGTGGGAAATTGTGGAACGAGAACACGACAGAGATTTCTGGACACAGAATCCAGCAGCTCTCTTTACGATTTTGGTTCGGAAGCTTTACAACGCACTCAAAACGGGCAAGTTACTTTACTTCTGGAATAGCAAAGACAACCTTTTTACGAACATACACCCCTGGACTTTAAGTAGTTATGCTGCGAAATTGGAAAGACTTCTCGAAGTGCTGGCACGCCCGGGCTCGTATAAGGAAGTCGCCAAATATTTATTGACTGCTAGTCAATTCCATGAATACAATTACAAATTCTTGCATATTTAAGTACCTATTAGTAATTTTATTGCATGCATCATACGTTCTAGTTAAAATAATATTGCATAATCCATTATTGTGTTACTTATTTTGAGAAAACTGTATTTCCGAAAGTAATACAACTTAATAAGTAAGTAGTTTGCGTAGTATTTTGCAGTTTGTTGATGGCGTTATTGGTATTATAGCAGCCATTGTAGCGACCAGAGTCGACTGCCCATTTATACAGACTTGGGAGGCTCTTCATGCGACAGCCGAAAGGGATTAATGTTATAGAAAATTTGTATTTACTAACTTAGTCATAAGTTTACTATTGTTACTAACACGACATGGAGATAATCCGAAATAAATAATTATTATTATCCTTAATTATACACTCCCGGACACATAATTCGGGCCACCTTGCACTTTTATCGTTAAAGGGCTAGAATATAAAAATATAGTTATCGTCGAAGAAATAGTTTTCTCCAGTTTTTTAAATTAAAATTTTATTTAAGGACTTAAGGAAATGACGGTTAGTATACCAGTTTCAAAGTTGCATAATAGGTCGTGATCAATCAAACATTGTTGAAGCTAAGGGTTATATATATACGTGATACTAACATATGCACGCTACATTCACCTCACAATGTTTTTGTTTTTGATGCACCGCAACGCGCTACCCTCGAAGGTGGTGGCTGAAAATCAGTGCCTTGCTCGTGAGCAAATTTTGTACTGAGCCACGACCTATTTGGCTTGCTTTAGCACACACACACAGCTGTTGATAATTAGGTTAGTATTATGTTTTTATGCTTTTTTTTCGTTTTAATTTTGATTTCTGTGTGTCTCTTAATCAATTTACTCTATTATATTGTTGTGTGTGTGATGCAAGACAATAAACGTTTTATCTATCTATCTATTGAAAATGCAAGGTGGCTCGAATTATGTGTCCGGGAGTATATTACATATTTTTATAACGTCATATTTACAAAAAAAAAAATCTTGTTCCATTTTTTGCTAATAACTATTTTTGTTTTTAAAAGAACGTTTATTTAGTTAATGTTTGTATTTTCAGTCTTCTATTTTTTATGTAAGACCTGGTCGAGTGGCTTGCACACCGGTTTTCATGGTGTCGCCATCTCAGCGGTCCCGGATTCGTAGAAACTAACTTTTCTATATTGTCTCGGGTCTGGGTGTTTGTGGTACCATAGTTGTTCCGATTTTCATAACACAAGTGCATTAGCTACTTACTTTGGAATCAGAGCATCGTATGTATGTGTATATTATTCTTACGTACATATCTAAGATCATTAGGTTACTATGCATTCATTATATCAGAATTTAATATTGTATTATCAATTATGTTATTGCTTAAATAAATATTGTGTGGAAATAAATCGTTTTATTTATTGTCCCCATTCGGAGTTAAATCTATTGTAAATATTCACTTCTAGAGTTGTATTCCCACGGCCCGTGACTTCAAGGGTCGCACGTGAGCTCGCGCCACAGCCACAGGCGAGTCCAGAAGAAACGACGCCGCTAGGTGTCATTCAACAAGAGCAGGCAATATTGAATTGAACATACGTAGTTTGCTTTACCGATTCATACTAATCATTCAAATTAACACTGTCAAACAAGAAACAGTCACCAAATGACAGACGCGCTCGCAAGTGCGAGCCCGTTCGGGTCCGTACCGTAGGCGCGAGCTCGCACGGGCCGCGGGAAACAGCCTTTTTATAGGCTCTCAGCGCCGCCCAGATATCTAAGCTATAGTCTAGGATACGATGGAACTCACATATACCTTGTACAAAAGTTCCTGTATAAATAAGATATTATCTACAAATAATCATCTACATGGGAATTAACAAATTATCTACATAGGAATTAGTCAAATTTAAAATTTATGTAAGTACTAAAATAAAAAAAACTGGGATTTACAAAAGATTTTGCCAAACATTCCTATCTTAATAAAAAATCGTAGCTCGCTGAACGACAATGGACACCTGCTGAACCAACCACGACCCAGAGCGGTGATCGCAGCAGATTTTATATAATATGTTAACAATTTACAAAGTCACAGAGCGTTCAAGAGAGCGTTCACCAACTCTTCTATACCTATACAAAAACAATGGCAATGTTTACTATTTCAAATACTTTGTAAGTTAACTTTGATTGTGTATTCTCATCATAAATGTATGTAATTTTAGACTTGAAGTTGAGAAACAATTGCTGATCAGTTTTAAAAAAAATAGGTAATATTATCTGAAGCCGAAATGCTGTCGACGGCGAGTCACGATTTATCAAGTTTTTTTTTTATAATACTAAGTGACGAGACATATAAGTCTTGCGCCTGGTGGTAAGCGACACGCCTATCCATAACAGTTACAGTGCCACTCAGAGCTTTAAATCACAAAGATTTCAGGGGCGCTGCTACAGCAACCGTCACCCTGAGACATAGTCGACAAGTCCCATGTGATTCTAATTTCACCAGCACCCTTAGGCTCAATTTACATTCCGGCGGAACGGAATTAAATGGAAGCGTCAATTTCGCCTCGCTGCGCGTGAAGAGGCGCCCAATCGCTGGAATGCTCGAACATCCCTGCGACCTCGCCATGAGGCTGTAGTATTCGTCGACGAATGACGTCACACTGAGCCTGCCTTCGCGCCACTTCCCGCGGATTCGCCAATCGTCGCCGACAGCAGCTGCGGAATTCTCGTAAATGCGTGAACATTCTCGAGCATATGCGAGAATTCCGCGGAAGACGCGCGACGTGATTTTTGGCTCGTATCTAGTTTGTACGTAACACAATTGACCGTAAAGTTCATTATGCTATGTACAATATCGTTACAAAAATTCGCTTCCATTCCGATCCGCCGCAATATAAATTGAGCCCGTACCCTTCTAAACCGGAACGCAGTAATTATAATTATAATACATTACTAATTGGCCGCAGAAATAGGTAAGGTGGCAATACTTTCCTGGACGAACTCTTTCACAAGGAGCTCTACTGCTACTAAAAGTTTCCACTGGAGTTCTTTTTTAACCCGACGGTGTAAAAACATAGGAGTCGTAATGTTTGTATAACCTGAAGTCTTTGCCGTTGTATCTCTATGTGTCCCTGTGGCATCGTAGCTCCCAAAACAAGGGATGGACAGATTTCAAAGCGGTTTTATTTTATTTGAAGCTTTAAAAATAAGTGATCTGTTGGGAAACTAGTTGAAATATTTTTCAATGGAATCAAATCGCGATATCATTCATATAATCACAGCAGTGAAACAGAACGTGTTCAAACATTGAAGGTTATCAGTTTCCACTGCCAACCGCTCGCATGATCAGAGTATCCCTACAACATATTCATATCCGTCTTATTAGTGGTAGCGCTCCTTGTGAAACAGTTCGTCCAGGAAAATTACCTTACTTCGCTTACTACCAGGTGCACAACTTGTTCGTCCCGTCACTTAGTATTATAAACAAAAAAAAAACAACAATCATCCGTTAGTACTGTTGATATTCTGAGTAATCATGAATAGTGTCTACTAGTCTAGTAGTCTCTTAGACTATGGAAACTTTTTTCCATCCTCCAAGAGTAGTCTAGTCTACTAGACAAGTATATATGATAGAAACTTAGAAGATGGAAAAAAATAAAGGATAGAAATGATTTGTCAATGTCGCGAAGTTGTCAAATTTGTAACCCCATTTAGATTGATCAAATAATAGTGAATATAATGCGATACAAATAGCAATATATACTTTATCAGTTTTTATTACACGACAGTGGATGTTGAAATTATGATTTCGTGGATTTTGTTGTTGTTGAAACTGTGACTTAGTTGGTAGGTAGATTTTGTGTGAAATACCATGTACATGCTTTGAAAATTGCTTTGTTTCACTGTTATGCAAAGCTTATAATGTTCAAATTGAGGGATCAGGGAGTAGAGATATTATATTATATGTGTAGAAAAACCTTGTAGTAGTATTCTAGAGTACAATGTCCATTAAATTGAAAAACAAGTGGGATATAAAAATTTTATAATACATAATCTCAATACAGAGTACTAAAAAAACCGACCTCAAAAGTCATTCATCCCCTAGTTTGACACCCTTAGATGTGGAATATTTTCTTCAAATTTAAATGAAACCACTACGGAGGTACATTCTTTCCAACAAAGAAAGAATCATCAAAATCAGTTCACAAATGAGTGTACAAATGAGTTATTGCGTAACATATATAAAAAATTTGAGAAACTCTTCCTTTTTTTGAAATCGGTAAAAAATCGTATCCGTCTTTCGATCTCTGTCGTTGCTGTTACAGTTTAAATTCATAATAGTAGATTGTACATCGAAGGTGTACAAACTATTTATCATGAGACGTGGTGCTAAACAGAAATTCTACGACTAGCTAGTTACGACATGCAGACAAGAGAGAAATCGTCAGTTCGTTGAATGCGTATATCTACAACACTGGCTTTTTGAATTTCCTTCCTCCTTAAGGAACCTTTAAAACTGTTTGTGTAAGAAGCTAACCATTATTAAAAATTAATAATCGTTTTTTTTTTAAGCTTATAATATAGAATAAATAAGTTAATGAAGATTCCCTCCATTCCACCCAATTCGAATAAGCAAATCCATTATAAGTTAGGCTGAGAGTTTTGGCAATACGAAAAACTTGTTTAACTCGCCATTTTTTTTGGTCGAAGTCTAGAGTTCGTTATAAAATAGCCTCAGCCTTAGAAACTGTAGAGCTCCTTGTGAGAGTTCGTCCAGGGAAGTACTGCCACCATAGCTATTTCTGCCGTAAGGCAGTAATGTGAACATTGCTGTGTTCCGGTTTTGAAGGATAAGGGTGCCGTTGAAACTGTAAACACATGAGCCTTACTATTTGATGACGGGCGCAGTTGCAGTACCCCTCAGGTTTTTGCGATTTAAAGCTCTGAGTGCCATTGCAAGTATTATGAGTAGGCGCGTCGTTTACCACCAGGCGCAAGACTGGTTCGCTCCATCACTTGTATATATACGAGTATATCTCTTATAATTTTAACAAGACAACAGTGACTGAATCTTAGAATGTAGCTTTTAATATTGGCTCTTAGTTATACAAACAACCAAACTTGCATCTTCCATCATCATATAACGTTCAAAGAAGCTTCGGAAAGTAACATTTTGCATAACTGCCAAATGTTAAGCCCTACCCATTGCAGCATATCGACTCATCCGCAGAACAAAGATCTATGTGCAAGACTACTTGTTCTAGAACATAGTACATTTCGTTCGGTCTTCTTCACTGTGGATGTCAGATCGACCGTTGTTCGATTTTATATTTCCGAAACGAAATAAAATATATAAATTCTCAAAATACCTTTACATAGGCCTTAATTTGAATAACGAAATTGTTCTCGTAACATATTTATTCTCGTTTCGCTATATGATCACATCGGGCTCTGTTCTTTGGATGAGTCGATATATGACATTCTTAGCGTTGGCTGTCATATTGATTGTCTGATCATGTTGCATTGTATCAGCCGGCACTCACGATTAGGATAATGTTTTTCTTTGTTTTTACAATGTTAGTACCTACTCTATTTATTATCATAGTATAATAAGAGAAGTATTATGAGATTATTATGGATGGGCTACTCACAATAAATTGTTTGTATTGAACTAATGCGTGATTGCATATACCATGCTATCGCCAGTGATATGGCATATTTTCCTTAAAAGTGTTTTATTTACACAAAACGGCATTCATTCCCTACAAACAATAATGCTGATTCAGGTTTATCTAACCGAATTTTTATGACCACACATATTTGCCTACACTCCGTGTGTACTTATTTTTTAATTGGGCGATATTTTACATTTTAATTGCTTTTCTTTGAACTCAATTGACGGGCGAACTTAGATGATGTAAGCGAGTAGGTACCTTGTGGTAAGAGACACGCCTATCCATACAACAGTTGCAGTGCCACTGTTCCCATGAGCCTGTAGTTCCTCCAGCTCTTTTACTGAGGACTTGTTCGTCCCGTTACTTGATATTATAAAAAAAATTGTTGTGCGTGTCGATGAGTAGACCATACCTACTACTGTCGTCAAGCAGTAATGTGAGTATTACTGCGTTTCGGTTTTCAAGAGTAAGTGCGCTGGCGAAATTACAAGCACATGAGACTTGTCAATTTATGTCTCAGAGTGACACATGCAGTGGCAGTTGCACTTAGATCTTTGCGATTTACAGCTTTGAGTGGCAATGCAACTGCTATGGACGGGCCTGTCGCTTAACACCAGGTACCCGACTTGTTCGTCCCGTCACAAGGTATCAATAAACTATTTTAATTACCTTTCTAAATGTGATTTTTCCGATTGCGTCACTCTATAATTTAGTGTGTGATGTAATGAAACGTGTATTAATTGCTCAATTGTCGTATAATACTGATCTCGCAGGTCTAATAAGGCCACATTTGTAAAATGACAACGTTACAGGAGAGAGTTTCAAGTTTCTATCAATCACAAATCATACAAGATGCATCCTAACATCCAAATAGTTAGTACTATTTGGATGTAAAATACTATCTAACCAAACATGTATACAAAACATTTTTTGTTTTGTTTGGCACCAGCCAACTAAAGTGAGGAAGTTCCAGAAGTAAAATTATGAGAACCTGACATAGTAAAAAACAAAAATCACGGTCAAAATAAAACTAATTATTATTACTTTTATTTTGGCCGTGTTTTTGTCACGGTCAAATAGTTTTTCAAATAACGTAACAATGTTTGGCACCAGCCAACTGAAGTGAAGAATTGTCAGAAGAAACATTTTGGGAACGTGACAAAATAGAACACAAATCGAAATAATAACTAATAGGTACATCGTTTTTCAAATAAATGCATTTTCATATTTCACTGGCACTAACCAACTAAAGTAACGAATTACCAGAAGTAAAATGTTGGGTACCTGACAAAGTAAAAACAAAAATGACGGTCGAAATAAAACTAGCATTTTGCTGTATTTGGCACCAGCGAATGTGTCTTTTCTTTCTAAATTGATGTTTGCAGAGTAATGTCCTCAGAGAAGCTAACCCCGCCGAGAGAACCGCCCTCGACCTCCGGCACACCAAACTGGGTGCCGATTGTCGCTGGGGTGCTCATCGGCCTCGGCGTCCTAGCCATCGCCTACAAACTATTCTCGAAATCCAAACCTTCCGGCGTCAGCTTCGTTTGCTATAAGAAGCCACCACCGCCAACTGGTGTAAGTATTCCTAAGATAGGTTTTGGTTTTCGGTGAATTGCGTATCCAATATCACAAGAATTAAGTTAGAAAAATACTGATTCAGCACCCTTGATCTTAAATCATAATGTTGTAGCGAGTTACTCACTTAACACCAACCTTTAAGGGAGTTAACACACACAGAGAAATCGGCTTAAGGAGGTTAGAAAAAGTTTATGCCCGAGCTGGAATTAATTCAGGAGCAGTAAAGCTCCTTGTGAACCACCTATTTCTGTTTCAGTTTTGAAGGATGAGCACAGACATAATATATGTCTGTGAAGATGTGGGTGCTGGTGAAATTACAGGCACATGGGACTTGTCGACTTATGTCTCAAGGTGCCAGGCGCAGTGGCAGTGTCCATGAGATCCTTATCATTTAAAGCACTAAGTGGTGCTGCAATGGCCATGGACTTGCGTGTCGTTTAACACCAGGCGAACGACCGTTCGCCCCAGCACTTAGTACCATAAAGAAAATCCCCTAGGCCTAACAGCGCTACATTTTATAAAATTTGTTGCAGTGTTTACAACCTCAAAAATCACCGCGCTGTATATGTTGACATCGGCCTATCTTCATGGAATGAAGATGGAAATTATAGAAGATCTATGTCCGTAGTTTATTTCCAGTTGAAATAATACAGAAATGTGTTAAGTAATTACGTTACAATTGTGATATTTTTATTAGTAATGACGTTCAAGTAAACCTTTCTTTCATTGACTTTCTGTCATCTTTACAAAATCGCACCTTTGGTGTAATAAGGCCACTTTTGCAAAATAACAACTTTTGAGGAGAGAGCGTTAAAGATTCTACGAATTAAATTACTCGATAACATTTTTATGCTTTTACTCGATAACCGGGAGAGTTGTAAAATTTCACATCACATCGCCGAGGGACTAGGCGTAGGCTTGGGTTCCACTCCTATGTTGTAGATATTCCAAAGATTCGCACGTAGCGTTACGCTTCCACATTTATATGGCGAACGGCAATGGTGTGGAATTCCCTGCCTGAAGACTTGTTCTCTGAACGTTATAACTTAGGCCTTTTCAAGGCGAGAGTGAACAGGCATTATTTAGGTGTGCATGCACCATCGTCGACCTCATCGTCGCTTTCCATTAGGTGACAGGTGAGGTTTTATAAAAAAAAAATGTTGTAGTTCGTATTATTTTTATGATTTTAATGTGATATAAAAGCACTTTTGGCGTATCATATGTGGCTTTATATACCCAAAAGAGTACGAAATGTTTGCGTATCTGTAATCCGTATTTATCTCTATTTATCATCGATTCAAACGGTATGAAAAATTCCCATCAGCGTTCGCATCTGCAGATGTCATCATAGATCAAGTTAGTTATCCTTGCTACCTAATAGTTATGGGGTGTAAATAGATACAAGTACTTATTTCAATGTTGATAGCCCAGTGGGAGAGCGGTGCATCTCAATTGAGAGGTAAACGGTTCGAATTCCTGCGACGGCACGTATCTTTGACTTTAATTTGTAAATTACTTACATTTGTGAAGTAGCAACATTTCTCACTAGTCACTACAACCAGAAGGGTGTTAATGCTGCTGCGACAGAGCGCTGCGGTGGAACCAGATCCTGAGGGGTAAGAGCTGAGAAGTGAGGCAAATTATATATATTTAATTGTTAACACTATTGTAATGTACAAACAAAATATTTAAAAATTTATTGACTTAACTGAATCTAGGTTGCATGTATCGCACTGTTAATACAATAGTGTATTAACTCAAAAAAGGACTTTCTCAGAATCGACGAAAAACGAATTACTCACTTCCTGCAAAAAAATCATTAAAATTTATATGTTATAGTTTTTTATAGACACTTAAACAATTTCTCAAATATATTTAAAAATAAAATGGATAAAATAATTTCATGTTTTTGAATACGGATTATTTTAGCCAGAAATAGCTCACATAAAGTGTGTCTCATTTTGAGTTAAGAGATATCTATTGATTGTTTCTTACAATATTCTAACGAACGGTTTTTTGACGTGTAAAGAATCAAATTTTACGTACAGTAATGACATAATATTAAATTCCACATATTTTGAGTTACTACACTATTGTAACAGCAGTGCGATATCATTCCTGGTGAACTTAAGTATGAAAATACTTGTGTCAGAAGCCACCGCTCCTCCAATCCAGTACAGTTATTACTTAGATGTGTGTTTGATTTTGATGATTAGAGGATGTGTGTGTGTGTGTGTGTGTGTGTGTGTGTGTGTGTGTGTGTGTGT